AACCTCCGAATTATGCAACAAAAATCTGTACACACCGCTCGCTATTCATTACTCATTTGGTAACATTCCAGTAATATCGCTAACAACTAGTCCCCCCACCCTATACCCAAGTCTTCCTCACAGTCGTTACCTCCAACAGTTTCCGCTGTCTGTTGTAAAAGTGTTTTAACTATATCTGGACGCATAACACGTCTGATGTTTGCGCAGAAAATTTCTGGGAAGTAGCGATAGGGCACAAACGAGTAAGTACTGTATCTACGAAGCCGCAAACTAAATACTAGGAGATGTCAGGCGCTTTCTTTTACCATTAATGCACTTATATAAATAAAAGGAAAAATATGTTCGTTATACAGATTGCACAGATGTCGAGCATTAAGGAAAGCCAAATGAATAAATTACGTACGATAAAACATGACTCACTTTTCTTTCTTGAACCAACTGGCATTGAGTTTTTGGAGTTTGGCAGTTGCACCATTTGTTATATCAATTCTGACAACACTGAGCTCTACGCCAGCAACGCCTCCAACTGAAGTGAGCATTTGAGAGCCTGGCATCGAGCCAATCCAATCTCTATAACTTTTAACTTTCAGCAAGTCCGATCCCCTATTGCCTGGTAAATTATTATCCGACGAAGTCCAGAAGAGATGAAATAACAGAGGGCGCAGTAGGATTTTTTAAGAAAATTTCGGGGAAATAGCGATAGGGCAGAGACAGGTAAACACAGGAGCTTTTTTGAAGCCATACTATGGTAAATTCTATCACGTTTGAATAGAAAGTTAGTAATAAAGCACTGTAACAATCTATTACCTTAGAATAATCGAAACGAGGGGGAAAGGACTGTTCGAGAGACATAACATTCATCTTTGCCAGTTACAACAATCGAGAATAACGTGCGTGATGTGAGTCCTTTGTCGTCTAATTTTCGTGGTTTGCCTTATTATGTTACTCCACAAACTAGACTGCGGTTGAAACACCAAAGTTAAATAGCTTCGTCATTAACGATTCGCAAAACTGTACATACGGAGGCAAAACACGGGTAGTGATCTCATCATAAACGAATGAACGACCGATCCAGGGCAGCAAATTTTCAGCCATTTTGCAAGAGACGATTTTGGACTAAAGGTGAAGGATGGGAAGAAGCAGTCTCAAGAGCAGTAAGTCTGACTAATTTCAGCCTGCAACCTCAACTCAGTGAAATGGGACTCCGTGCCATCAGCCATCATCAATAACCTCGCATTGAAAATAAAGATTGCAATTTTAAAGAGAGGTTATTTGGGCCAATCATCACCAACAACTTCTCTTCGAAAGCAAAAGATTCAACAGTAGGTTCCCACCATCCTCTTTGCTAGCAAAGCCACTGCCTGTGCCGTAAACTGTGCTTAAAATCTGACAATTTTAGTGAGAAATGCTAGATTCATTCCAGCGGTCTGTAAATCCGATAAAAAGGCAAAAATTTACTAACTTTATATTTTCCTCATTCCTTGACCATTTATACTGGCCGTTAGCGAGAGAGAGGGCCGTAACATGCGCATCCCTGAAGATGAACACGTTGCCGTTCAAGATTAGCACCTGAGACTTCTTCCAACTGCAACATACGTAGTTTTATGAAATCTCGGAGCGTTTTTGCATCAGTGATGCAGCATTAAGCAGAGGTCAAAATGTGTTTTATATACATATATACACATACAAACATATACGCATATATGAATACTGTTTGCCTTTTTTCGCTCTGGCTAAAAAAGTTCCGGAATGTGTATAAGACCAAAAATTCAAAACCACTTTTCAAGTCGATGACTATGCTGATCTTTGGTCTCAATCTCAAATTTGGACAGAAATTTGACATGAAAAGCAAAAATCCCAGGAATGAAATTTTGGGCAGCAAAAATTACGTCCACGAATGTGGACGCGAAACTGGAATCAGTTAACTATTATTTCCGCACCTTGGTCTGTGCTATTTTACGAGTTTAAGAATGAACAAAACTAGGCATTCGAGGTTTTGAGCTTGAATCGTCATAAAATATAAGTTAGAAAAAAAAACCAGCCTTCAAAATTGCCTCTGACCCTTGATACAGGGTTCAAACTCGAACTGTTTTTCTAACTTCAAGAAGCAAGCAAAAAAAACTCAAAATTTGACCATTCGTAATGTTGTGCGTGTTGTATTCAAACACGCACAGCACTACCAATGGTCAAAAATCCGCTTTCAGAGGCCATTGTTTCTGGAGTGCGGCCTTTTGTGCAAATCTGTTCATTATTTTAAAATGCATACATCGCTTTACTGGCACTACAGAAAGTTCTATGTAGTTCCCATCAACCCTTTAATCTATAAGAATTCGCTGCACAGCCTGAGCTTGCTGTTCAATGTTTTTTCAGTAATAAACGAAAAGGAGACAGAGACTGACTTGCTGACTCCAGAATGATAATTCTGGTAACTATGATAAATTTGATATTAGAAATTTTAGATACCTATTAGCAATTTGCGAAATTTGAGTTTCCCATAACAAAATTCCAGTCTCGCGGTCCCATGCACGCACCACATCGTTATTGTTTGTGAATGTAATCAGTGCTGAAACAAAAGGATTTGACAAAAATGGCGCTGAATTTGCTCTAAAAACCGGCAATTTCGTATTTACTTTCATGTTTTGTTCAGTTGCCAATTCACTATGTACAATAATAAAATTGCCACCGGCAAAAAGTGATGGGAGGAACTTACATTACAATCTAGTAATACGTACAAGAACCAA